GAGTTAGAGGACAAGTCTAAAACATGATTAGACTTGTACTATTCAGAACATAATACATCCCCTCTTTGAAGAGTTACAAAAAGAGCACAGTGTCTGAACTCTGAGTAAGTAGCACTCAAGTAGGGGCAGCTTTACCTAACAAGCAAGGGTACCCTTCAGAGCACAAGGAACACTGGTCTGCAACATTAAGTGCAGATGGATGCACCTGCACCCAGACTATTCCTCACATTTTCAACCACAGACTGAATGCTGCTTGGGATATTCATGTTACAAGGGTCAAGACTTAGCTGGCTAGTGACACCAGCAATGCTTTAATCAGCTGCAGGGACTCAAGCACCAGTGAGAGCCTCCACATACATTCAAGAAGCATTAAACACTCAATCACATGTGGCTTCTACAATACCTAGTGAAAGGGAAGAAAGCAATGCACTCACTCAGTTAATGAAACATACAGCTGAAATTTAAGGATTCAGGTCATGCCTAAATGTTATCACCAGCAAGCATTCTGTAGACACTGATGGGACAGTCTGGGACTACAGATAAAGAACAGCCTGTTTAAACAAAGGACTTGTGGTGCTGCTAGAAGCCTTTTTGGTCTTCTGTGCTACTGCATTACAGAAAAAATTCATTCTCACTAGTTCAAGTTTTAAGACATGTACAGTTGATAAGTGAGAACTAAAGGCTTTTTGCTCACTATCTTTCTAGCAAAATTTGCCTTCTGCCTGTATGGGAGACAAGCCTCTGAACTGAGGTTTGTCTAGATATCAGAATGCACTTTTTGGGGCCTCCCTAAAAAGGGCAAGCTACCAAATTCTGTTCTCGTAAGAAGTTTTTCAACAAGAATATTAGAAGCACACAAGTAGAATTTTGCCCTCCCTGACTGCTGCTCTGCCCTGACCTGCTACTCAAGCCACATACCAAGTCTGAACTTGGGAGTCCAGATTCAGAAGTTGAGTCAAACTTGGACCAGAATAGACTATCAGACCTTGAATATAAGATTATTACATAGAGCAACAGTTACAACAGCAACTGCAGTGTCTTCCAAAAAAAATTTGGAAACAGCTATAAATGTTCTTATAGATTTTTCAACACTTTTCTACTTGCTGGACCAAGAAACCAGAAGTTCCAACTAGTTTTGCATCAACACATGCAAAAAGTGAGGGGCTCAAATCACTCAACTGGTGATTTTTACTGCATGAACTGGAAGAAAGTTCCAGTACATTCCTGTTATACGTTCATATATGTTTAGCAGCAGTTACACATTCAACAACAGAAGAGTTAGAGGTTTGAAACATTAATCATATTTACCATTTTGCATTTCACACCTGAAACAGAAGTAAAAGCCAGTATTTTAAAGAAGTGCAAAGACAGTCTTTTCCTACAGCACACTAGAAGGGAAAAAAAAGGAGTAGAATATAATTGCCTTTAAGTGGCATAGTGCTGTGTACAGAGTGGGTGGAAGTTTTCAAGACATGTTTGATTTCTTATAGAACTTAAAGTACAGAAAAGCTCCTATTAAGCAGACATATTTAAGTTACATATGTTGATTAAATCAAACTAGGTACTAGTTAGCTCTCCCAAAATAAAACATATCACAACTACAGCCGTGCTGGACAGAGTAGTTACATTTATTCCATTTTCTACCTGTTTCAAAGCTTCTGAAGAACTTTACCTGGAAGTGGAATATCATATGCCTGTCATTGAAAGGTCAAGAGTCATACATACAGTTTTTCCAACTCCATGTAGTAGGGATGAAAACAGCTTCTAATGCAGGTAGAAGAGATATGTTCCTATAGAAGGAATCACTGCTCCTGCAGTGTAATAAAGAAAGGCAACAGCCATATATATGCACATGTAAAGGACCAAGCTAAATCCTGTCTACACCACAAAGTTATTTCAAGATCTAGTGCTGTAAAGCTTCAGACAAAGTTTGAAGAGTGAAAAACAATTCAGCCATTGATCTTCAAGTTCTTATAACCTCACTTGTTTACACCAAGATGCCTGAGGAAAGAGGTAACAATTCTTCCCTCTACATACTCATTCTTTAAGACTTCTGGAAGTATCAGTGTTATGCTGCCATCCATCAAGCTTTTGAAACAACACTATGTACTACTTTCAAGTGTGATTAGGGAATTATCAATTTTGCTTAATTCATCCAAAATTAAAAGCCATTTGTACTTCCCACTTTTTCTTTTTGCTCCTACAAACAAAAATTGACTTAATATTGCCTCTCTCCCCAAAAAAAGTTAAAAGATGCTCAAGATGCTTACAATGTCTTAGAGAATAAAAATACAATACCACTGATCTACCTTACCCCACTCTCTGCACCTCCATTTCTTGCTGTATTTTGCTTAATTTTGGGCAAGCTATTCAACACTACTCCTTCATTTGGAAAACTTCCTATGAACATTCACAAATTCCCACTGCTATTGAGAGAATCCTTGATTACTGCCAAAAAAAGGTGACAGACAGAAATCACATGATTTACAAACTGTTTCCTTATCTCCTCCAGTTTAAACTTTCCTTAAGTCCTTCTGTACCAGTGTTTATCTGCTCACACAACACCTCGCACTGTGGTACACTGGTGCCTCCTATGGAGATAACATCTTCAACTCCAACGGCACTGAAAAATCCAGAAGCTGAACAAAATAAAGTCCAAGCACAACACAGAACTGCAGTTCCTCAAGAGAAACTCCAATTTATATAAGCAAATGAGTAAATAAATCACCACTCATATTCCACACAGGCCACCCTCACTCAGATATTATGAGCTCAAGTCACCTTTACCTTCAGTCCCACTGGCCTGAGGGAAGAAAGCTAACCCACAAGATGGAACAGCACAGCCAAAGCCTGTCACCCTTTTAAAATGCAGGAAGATAAAAGCTTTCTTACAAAGCAGCAGCAAGTTGTTATAAAGTGAACTTAATTTCCAAGTGACACTAAGGAGCTAAGATCCCTCCCAGGTAATGCAAGCATCACTGCTTCTCCACTACACAACCTGTATTCTGTCCTATCCTCACAGCCCACTATTCCTCATGACTCAAGCTGCCCCTGTCAGGAGGCAAAGCTGGAAAAAGTTACTGAGAAACTTCTATAGCTACCAGGCGATTGCTCCCAGTGAGCCAGACACAAGAGCTCTCAGGTGCTGGTAACAGCACTATCAGGAACAGGTTCTTGGTAGCAGAGCCACACATTTTTTTCAGAAGATTAAGCCAGAGCAGAACCAAATCCCTTCAGGAAAAAGTAAACTACAGATTCTGCTAACCCTCTATTCCCTGCTTTTCTTTCTGTAAAGAAACACAAGTAGTCCACCCACAAAACATCCACCTCAGCTCATAATTCAACAACAAAAAAAAAAGTGAGAAGTGTCCAATATTGCTGCCCACAAATTAAAAAAAAAAAAACAAAAAAAACAAGAAAACCAAACCTGTCATTTCAGTTGCTCATTGACTTATCATATACTTTTCTGGGCAATTCTAAATTGAGGAGGAAAAACCAGTGTAAGTTGCTGCACTACCCAGAACACCAGCATCCTTCCAGGAGATATTCTTAGAATTGCCCTTGATAATACACACAATAAACCAGCTAATAGA